CACATCTCGATTAGTTAATTGTGTAAATAATTTCCTAGAGTTAGTTTGTCATCTTGTTATCCATTCCTTTTTCCATGACATGCTCTACGACAACTTCAATTATTTAAAATAAAGAAAAAATCCAGAACAGGAATTAAAATAATGAATTCACTAGCAAGCATTCCTGTTCAGAGCACAAATCAGTATCCATACCTTGCCCTTCAGAAAATAAATTGTGCTTGTTGCTTGCCCATTTTGGATTCAAAGATTTGAAAGATCTTCAACAGAAAGGCTAGAGAATAACTGCATCCCAATGGCACATTCTGTACTGTACAAAATACATGGAAAGGATGAAAAACTGACCCTGAAATACTGATGTTTTGTGGGAGTGCTTTTCTGATAGATTTTTTTTTTCCCCTGGAAGACAGAAGAACATTCTCAGTGCAATCAAGCCGTGTTTAAAAGCAGAAAAAGGCTACAATCTGTGGAGCATCTATTAGCCCACACACCAGGAAAGTGTACTGGATTCAAACCAGAGAAAAATACTAATTTTGAATCTCAGTGACCAATGTATTGGTTATTTAACTGCCAAGTACTGTCACAATGAAGCATTTCTAAGAGACGTTTTTCAGGCCCCAGATAATTTTTCCACACACACTTGAAGACTTCGGGAACCTCTGTTTGTGTCTTCTCAGGGAAGATGAGATTGGAGTCCTCCATTCAGCAGAAGCAATTTAGGATGACATTATTTTTGCTGAAGTGGGAAGACCACTATAGAACTGTTTTCTAATTATGCAAGAACCTTGCAGCTCCAAATATATATATATATATAAAACACACATTTTAGCTGGGAAGTAAGAGTAGAGACTAGATTAACATTTGCTAACTATCCACCTTTTGCCAGAAATCACAATTCTTCTAATACTTCAGCTGGCCCCAGCCATGTCCCAGCTGCCATGTCTTCAGCTTTAACAGTTTGTGGGATTAGATTGTCACTATAATTCAGAACTGAAGAAGAGCACAGCTTCCCATTCACCAGAAATTGAAAGTATCCACAAAACTAAGACAGTTCAGTAACCCTCCCACAATTGTTTTCAGACTTACTTTTATAACGCATGGGAAAAAAAGTAGGAGTACTTTTAAAGATAAACTCAAATCTCCAAGTTAAAGGTCTCTTTTCATATGAAGCTTCTAGTGTTCAACACCAAAGTCTAAGTTCATACAGAACTCTATCTCATTCATATTTTCGGTTGCATAGTTGGTGTCTTTACTACGTATCCAGCAGCACTCAATTCAATAAATCCTTACTAACATTTACATTTCCAAGTTTGGGCAGATTCTACTAATGTACAGACTTGTCAAAATTCAGAGTAAAGCATTTTATTTTTTAAAAGAGAAGTATTAAATCTTTTTGCAATGAGCAGTTTAACTAACTGGAGCTCAAGAAGTGATGGAAAATGAAAGTTTCTTTTCATTTAACTGTAAAAAACAAAGCAGCAGACAGATTTTGCTGAAGCATCTGATGAGTAATAACAACATGCCATATGTTTTGCATCAAAAATTCTATAAAATTCACTATAAAGAATTAGCACTTATAGATAATAGGAAGACAAAGCACTAAATCACTACAAGACTGAAGTAGAGAAAGAAAAATCCTAGCAGTAGGAAATATGAAGTTACAACAGGTTAAACATCATCCACTGGGAGTCAAATGAATGGGGCCAAAGCCTTTTCAGTGTTGTGCAGGAACAAGGGGTAACAGATAAAATCTGGAACAGAAAGTTCCATGCAGACATGGAGAAGGAGCTGCTTTATTGTGAGGGTGACAGAGCACTGGAACAAGCTGCCCAGAGAGGATGTGGATTCTCCTTCTCTGGAGACATTCAAGACCCACCTGTGCTGTAAGGATGGCTGATATTCAGTGGTCTCCTCAAACCCTTACAATTATCTTAATATCCACTAAAAATTGACTGAAGAAAATGAGGTATTTTCAAAAATTGAGAAGAATGTACTCTAGAATACATGACTAGTCACTGGACACCTAGTGAGTAAATTGCAAGTGTGCAGAAGCCATATATAAGAAATACTACTCAGCGTGTATGAGTCCATCCAAGCATTCAGGGGCGAGAAAGGAAAGCACTGACATTATTCAAGATCTTGAGGTGGTTTTACCTGGAATACTAGCTGCATAGATTCACAGAATAGATTCAAATGGAAATAGTGAAGAGTCAGTAAGACAATCGGAGGAACAGAAGATGCATCTGAAATACTAAATAAATTTCAGGTTGTTTTGTCAAAAATGTAAAGTGTGAGAGGCTATTTGTACTATATAATCATAACATGTGGGGAAAAGGTTATTGAATAGATTTATTCAATAGGTATTCTAACAGCAATGCTGAAAAAAAGACAAATGGTTAAGTGACTAGTAGAGCAATCTGGAATAGATCTTCAATGTAAAGGTAATCAGACAAGGTTCTAACCAGTTTTAAGGCAACTCTTGATAAACTGATGTAAGAGCTTGGCACTGGACTGCAGGAAGCAGGAGTCCCTTCCTAACCTGATGTTTGTGTTTCTTCATGTGCCTATGAAGACAGAATGAAAAGGAATTACTTCTTACATTAAAATTACCCTGGACTGCCTAAAGTATACTAACAAATAACCAATATGTGGAAAAGGAAAATAATCTGACAGATGTTTTTGAGCTCCTTAGTTTAATGAAGATAGAGTTACAGTGATAAAACTTAAAATCATTTTTTATTATATAAACAACTCAAAAGATTTATAGCAATTTTACCCAAGCTCCATGTCTCCAAGGAATGAATGATCAGAGACTTAAGTCATCTCAATTTCCCTCTCACAGACTAGTTGAAATTTATGGTCGCTGCTCTGAAACAGAAAGATTTATGAAGTATGATTGCTGAAGCAAGACCTGTCAGCAGCAAATGGCCATTTCTAAGAATTCTTTTTTAGGATTTAAACCCACAGCTTCAGCTCAAATCATCACCTTCAGAAATCTAAACACATTTCTACGGACATCCTTTGTAGGCAATATTGCTCCTCCCACAGCAGAACATGCCTGTCTGAAGAGAAATGGGAATGGCAAAAATGAGTTTTTCAGCAGTACATAAATTACATTACACATTAATTTTAACCTCATTATTCATGTCTTTCAGAGTGAAAGATAATTCACTTATTTCTTTGTCAAAACCTTGTAGTAAGAAAGAATTCTGATGCTGGAGAATAGGCAAAACATTTCAGGAAACTCCTGACCATTAGCATCCTACTGCTTCTACCTAAGGACCACATTTGCATCCTTCTTCTCTATGCTGGAAAGGAATGTTAGCACGTGACAAACCTTAGTCATTAAAGCTGCAGCAGCACTGAGCAAATATCAGGTTAAGGACTCCAAGAGTTAATTCAGCCAAGTAGGAAAAAGATAATGGGCATCAATCCCTCAACACCCTGAAACTATTTTATTTTACAAAGTAAGAAACTGTGTTCTCCTCTGCTGTTATATATATATACATAAAAATCTTCCAGTTCAAGACCTACCAGACTAACCATAGGCAAGAATAATGCAAAGGTTTAACAGAATGCAAATGAATACAGAGTTAGAGCACTGATAATTGACTTAAACATTATTTTCTGGCAGATGTATTGAGTTGATCTCGTCTTTAATGATATCATCCTTCGTTATTAAGGTTAGTACTAAAACTTTGGCATTTTACCAACCATGCTGTTTCACCCTCTACCATGCTACAGAATCCAAGTATGCTGAAAGTACTAATCAAAATACAATAGTTAGAAATGAGAAATAGGAAGTTACATCTTTAGAACATCCTAAAATGAGCTGTATTGGTGCTTTTCTCTAATTCAACAGATAAAATGGAAGGAAAAAAGTCTGAAATTGCAATGAATAATCTTTAAACTATAAAAGGATATAGGAATAAGTATGAGACAACTACAAGGCAAGATAAAATAAAGTATGCATCTTATAACTTACTTGAAAGCCCATTTTATCAAGCTATCTTTTAAATACAGCCCAGTCCTAACGCTTACCTGCAAATACACACAGTGAAGTTAAAGTCTCGAACAACACATGGTCCAAAAAACAAATAAAAGAGAGGAAGGAAGGGAAGGAGAGAGGAAACAGCTGACTACAAACACCCCAAAAGAGGCTTACGATAAAAAAATATCTCCGTGAAGATGGAATAGTAAATATCAAGTATCCAAGTAGAAAAATATCAACTGGGGAAGTAAACTGAGATTGTATCTCCATCATGTAAGTAGTGTTGTCTTCTGTTGTCAGTATTTACTCAAAATTTGATGCTGGGAGGAAGACTGAATTATTTTTCTGCAAAGGGTCAATATGTTTAGCTCAAGTACAAAACCAGTGAATTCTCTTTATTAAGTCTAGAAGAGGAGAAAGGATAATTTGTATCCTTTAATTCAAGCAAAAATATGAAGATGATCAGTATCTGGAAGCTGAAGTAATACCTCACTAAACACATAGCCTAAGTCCGTAACAGTAGAGTGATACAACACCTTCTTTAGATATGTGATGTATGCTTTAGATATGTGATGTATGCTATGTCACCTGCAGTTTTCAAGTCAGTTTTCAAAGAAAAAAATATAAAAAATAGTAGAATCAATCATCACTGGAGCAACACCTTGATTTAGACTACTCTTCTACTGACTTGCACTATGGAGTCTAAGAACAACAGAATTATTATTCTAATTATGCAGAAAAATGCATAAAATTCAGACAACTAATGCATTCTTTTTGTGGTATCACCATTTATATAGATAGAAGTACTTGCAGGTACAACTTTTAAAGTAAATATTTTAAAAATAAGTAAAAAATAAAGAAATTTCCAAAAACGTTCTTTAAAAATCATTTTCTTTAATTTGTCATTAAGACAAGAATTGCATTTTTAAACACCTATGAGATGCTGTAAGCTAGATATTGAAGAATACATTTAAGATACTTTATTCAATAATTAAGATGTTAGTAAGTGCTTAGCTACTACATGACAGGTAAAACAAAACGTTTTAAAATATTCACTTTTTTCAAAAAGAAAAATGCACTGAATTAAGATATGTACACATGAAGTTATCTTGATAAGCAAAACTACATCAGATTAGACTTCCAAGATGTCAGTACTTAGGAAGAAGGGGAAAAGGAATGAAATGCAAGGACTTGCATGCCTTACAGATTTAGAGTCTTTTTAAATTTCTTTTGCTTTGGGCACTTCCTGGAGGAGCATCTTTTTTGTTCTTCTGTTTTGCTGATAAGCTGTTACATTCTTTGGACCCATGGAAAGCATGCAGACATAAAATGCAGAACTCAAAGGCACAGGCCTCTCTGCTACATAGCCCCCATTTCTTTACCAACTGATACTTAGCAGGATATTGACATCTTGGACAGGGTTTTAGAGCTTCGTCAGTGAATAGAGTTTTAGCAACCTGTAGCAAAAAGGAGGGAGAGAAAAATAAGTTAGTTCTCATAAGTGAGAATTTTCTTAGAACTGAAAGTGACAAATTTCTTGGCTACCTACTTTTATGTATTCTTCCTGTCTACTGGTTGACTGGGGAACAGAACTGCATCTCCTGGGTGTAAGTTCAGTGTAAGAGGGTGGTGTTTGCAGTCCAGGAGTTCTGGCTTGAGCTTGAACTGGCCTTAGAGCAGATCTGTTGAGGACATTAAGTCTTGTGGCAGCATCTTCAGTTTTCAATAGGTGTTCCTGTAAAAGTTGATAATTATAAGGGGGGATGAGAAGGAAGCAAATCAGAGCTTTATTTACTTCAGAATGTTTTTGCTTCCTAAGTTTTCTCCTTGCAACACCACAACAGAATATGTACAGTGCATGTATTTCCATTAAACATTTGTATTTAGTAAGGAGACAAAATAGGAACCACAAAAAATAAAGTCCCATGAGCAGGGTAAACAAACCAACAGTATTTAGCACTTGATTACTTTCACATCGGTCCTCACGTTTCTGAAACAGAATGCATCTCAATAGCAATCACAAAGCTACCAAACATAAGTTTTGTCACAGCTAAAGCATTGTGTGCACACATGGAGAATCTCCTGAAAATGCATATTTATATTAATAATACATTTAATTTCTAGAAAGCTCTTAAGAACCATCTGTGTTTCCCTCTATTCAAGTATACCATGAAGAAGATAAGATACTGGCAGCTCTGAAAAATAATCGGGAAGTAGTACAGTATTCTAATGGACTGTAGACTAGAGTGAAATGAGAAATACCATGATATAGAGGTATTAGAAGCTATTTTAAAGACCCCAGGCTAGAATCACTTGATGAAAATATGCTCAGGGTGTACGGGAAGGAAATCACATGGTTTTAACAGGAGTACTCAAAGTAGGAGCAGATGAAAAGCAGTAAAATCAAAGCAATGACATCCTCATGTTAACATGCTGGAACTGTTGCTATTAGCTACCTTTAAAAAGCTTAGTGCACCCTCTGTCTCAAATAATTTAACACATGGAAAAAAAAAGCAACCAGAAATATTACCTTTAAGACAACCCTTACCTCAGCTTCTTCTTTCAGCTGTTTTATGTATGACTTCCTCCTTCTATCTGCTCTTTTATCTTGTACAATGATTTCACGCCAGTTTTTGCTTACTTTCCAAATGCTGGAACAAATGAATGAAAAATTATCCACTCGCAATTTTTCAGGGTATGACAGAAAACAGTATATATGTACCTTGTTAAGACTTTCACAGACTTCTTGTGATATTATGAAGTACTTCTATATATTACAGAATTGTAGTATACCACTGCATTGTCATAATACAAACTTCACACATTCTGCACCATTGCACAGTACACATAAAAGAATCTAGTGAATAACTGCAGTATAAACAGCATAGCACATCTTTGGCTCACCAAATTAAATACATTTTTTCCCACATAAGCCATTTAATTTTGCTCCTAAACTTATATTTCTAAGCATTAAGTATTCTGACAATATTTATGTCCTGATAATTCTACCTATTCCTTTTGTAACACGTGACACTCTTGATTTCTTTGAATTAAGTGACAACTTCTACTGATTTCAGAAAATAAATCCAGAACATTAAGCAATATTCTTTGAGCTCTTTTGTCTCTGTGCTTAGAAATAACTGAGGAAATTAAACATGCAAGAAAAATGATTGGAAACTTGAAATAAGAATAACTGACTTTCTAGATTTGAAAAAGAATGTCAGTGTTTTAAAACTTACAAGTAGTGTGACAGTTTCAATTTAATCTCCCCTTTTATTTTTCCCTCTAATTCCTGTATACAAAGTATTATTAGAACTACGTAGAAATAACCACTTAGTTACTTGTGAAAAACCCCTTTTAATTTCCCTTAAATTAAACAAAAAAAATATATTGACAATTCCCATTATTCCAGAAATAACCCTAATTTATTCACAGAAACATTTTCAAAATTTCATGGGGTAGAGAGAAGGCAGAACAGCAGTAGTACCTACCTGCATAGACTTTCCACTGTCAAAGCATCTAAAACAATAGCAAGAACATGTTTTAAATTTCTGTATTTTAATTCAGTTAAAATATCTAACTTTTCAAGGCCCATTTTCTTGCCAATAAGTCCAGCAAGAACATGTTTTAACGCAACTATTTGTGTTCCAACAGTATTCTTTGATATTTGATTTTTGTCTGATCTTTGTCTTTGCAAGCAAATTTCATGGACTACTTGCAGAGCTGGAGTTCTTGAGAGATCTCCATAATTTACAGCTGAGTCTTTACTCGTCTGTTCCTTTAAAACTAATCCATGGTCTTCTGTGACAAAGCTTCTTTCTTCCACTAACATACGTGCTGAATTAGGACTGCCATGATGGTCTTCTGTCTCCGACTGTGAGCCCTGTTCCTGAAGAGTTGACAACCTTCTCACTCGTTCAATTTTCCTTGCCTTTCTTTTAATATCCAGAATTTTGGAACCTTCTTTGCGTTTTCGAAAGCTCTCTTGAAAAGAACCCTCATGATCAGACAACAAGTCTCCTGATTTGTCCAGTTGGAGTGAATTATATCCGCTATCCTCAGGTGTTGAAATATTTGGGTAACTTGCCAGTTTAATAGAGGGATTGTTTCCATCGCACAGCTCAAAGTTGAAGTTCTCTACAAGACTATCAATAGAATTCAGGATCTTGCTATCACTGGCCTCAGGTAACACACTGCAAGTAGGAGTCTGAAGCAACCCTTCACTAACACTTAAAAGGACACTCTCACTGAATTCATTAGTGTTACTAGCAGTAACATCCTTACCCTCAATTGGAGAAAAACATTCTGTTTCCAGCAATGAGGGATCCTTACATTTGGACTCATCTAGAGTAGAAGTCCTTTGTTGTGAAAAGGATAGTCGCCGCTTTGGGCAATCAGGACTAGAGCCCTCAGTCTCCACAGTGCTACCTCTCAGGGTGTTGCAACTTTCATCTTTCAAAGAGTGTGAAGCAGTTTGTGACAGTTTTTCTTCAGAGCTCAGAACAGAAGGGAATAGTTTTTTCCTGCTGCTCCCTGAAGAACCAACTTGTTTTTCACAGCTCCCTACAGCTGCACCAGCCTTCAATAAAAGCAGCCTCCTGCGTAACGAGGAGCCTTTTCTACCCGCTTTCGGGGTTTCAAAAAAATACGTGCTCCTGTTTGCTTCTCTTCTGTCTGATAAGGAGATAGAATTCATTTCATTTTCAATAGATGACACAGAACAGAGGTCATTTGGACGGATATGGTCAGAATGCTCTTGTAGCAAAGATAAACTTGTTGCTCTCGGTGTTTCTTTATGTTCTGCATCAGGATCTTTTAATGACTCATTGCATCTGCTGTCCAGAATTGCTGAAGTGGAACGAGTGTCTTTAAAACTGGAGCTTTTAAAACTGCTGCTGGGAGACGTTAACCTATTTCTTTTAATAATATTGAATGCTACTGAATGACTATCTGACATCTTCTGCTTTGCACTTTAACTCTGTAAATGAAGACAGCAGTGTTATTTTTGAAACAAACAATGAAAATAATCACCCCGGAAGAGTAAAAAGAAGCCTTGTGTAAATCTACCAATACATGTTAAAAAAAAAAAGTATTTTCATTAGTCTTAATAGAAACAGTGCTTATACGTGAGTACAAAGATTAACTTTGTACAGTCAAGCATGTTGTTAGAATGATCAACTTCCCCCTTATCCCAACAGGTAGTAATTTTTTTGTTATTATTTTTTTTATCAGCAGTGTTACTGATTCATGAAATCACAAGCAGTAGCCCTCAAGAGCTAGCAGAGGATAGAGATAGATTAACTAATGAGAAAATACCTTTTACATTAGAAAAAGAGAAGATTAGCTGTGAAGAGACAAGTCTACAGTTCTCCCTATTGTAGCTTCCACAGTAGCCAGACAGAATAAAATTGGACCTCCGGGTGCAAAGCAGACAACATATTCTCATCTGCTTTAATACTTAAATGTTATTTTGTAAAGGTGTGTGTTTTTTTTTCCACACAGCTCTGTGGATAAACTAAGTGTTCTGAAGATTTACACTTTGGATATTGTCTACTGATTGTCTATACAACCTCTCACAACGTATGTGGGAACTTCAACATAAACTTAACAAGTACTGAAGTTCTCAAGAGCTACTATATGTTCTCCTCCAACCAAAAATAATAAATAGTTGATGCATGCGTTTAAGTAATAATTGTAAGAACGCAAAATGACTGATTTTTGCTATCCAGTAATGTGGAGTTTCTTTACATTGCCCCAAACTGCAATAGGTTGCACAAGATATAATAGTGTTAAAGGAGATATTATGAACAACGCTGTTATGGGGGGGTGTTATCACAGGAAGAAAAAAATTAGAAGAGTCTCAAAGTTTGAAATGGCAGATTTCAGTGGGCTGCTGCTGGCCTCAAGAACTGGTATCTTGGAATAAAAATCTGGAATTTATCACTGAAGTTATAGAGCAGACAAAACTGGAATTTTTATAGGTGGCTTAAACAACAGACATTAAGACACTGCTACTAACAGCACTGACCTAGTCAGGAATTAAGCCACCAAGTACAGCTGAGGCAAGCCCAAAGTCCTAGGGAAAGAAGGGGGGAAGAAATTATCCTGCGATGATCTAGGGTCAATTTTCAAATGATGCAGGCACTCTGTAGGATCACTGCAATATAAACATACTTTCATAGAATCACCAAGATTGGAAAAGATCTTTAAGATCATCCAGCCCAATCATCCACCTATCACCAGTATTTCCCCCACTAAACAATGTCCCTTAGTACATCCGTACATTTCTTGAACACCTCCAGGAAAGGTGACCCAACTACCACCCTGGGCAGCCTGTTTCAACACCTGATCACTCTTTCAGAGAAAAAAAATTTCCAAAAATCCAACGTGAACCTCCCCTGGCACAAATTGAGGCCATTTCCTCTAGTCCTATTGCTAGCAACAAGAAAGAATAGGTCAACTTTCAGGCAGCTGTAGAGAACAGGGAGGTCTCCCAGAGCTTCCTCTTCTTCAGGCTGAACAATCCTAGATCCTTCAGCCGCACCCCATAAGAGCTGTGCTGCAGACCCCTCACAGCTTTGTAGCCCTTCTCTGAGCACCTTCTAAGGACCTCAATGTCCTTCTTGTAGTGAGGGGCAAAAAAACCGAGCACAGTACTCAAGGTATGGCCTCACCAATGCTGAATATATAGAGAAAAACAGCTTCCTGGTCCTTCTGGCAACACTATTTCTTATATAAGCCAGGATGCCATTGGTCTTCTTGGCTACCTGGGCACACACCACTGGCTCATGTTCAGCCAAGTGTCAACTAACACCCTAAGGTCCATTTCTTCCACACAGCCTTCCAGCCATTTTGTTTTGTTGCCTACAGTGAGCAGATTGCAATGTCAGTCCAGAGGACCATGACACTTGAGAACAGACTGTGAGAACTTGACATAAAGGTCAGTGAAATCAGACTGATGACAGTATGAAACAAGATTAGATTTAAAACAAAGAATGCACCTAATTGAAAAGAATTTTTGCAGAAAAGATGTTAGAAATAAAGACAAATTTGGCCTTGTTCCTTTCCCATATACCTATATAACTACAATATTTTCACCTTACTCTCATATCTCACCTTTGCACTTGTTTTTCCTCATTGCTTTTTACTCATTCCTTGGATAGAGACAAGCTATGCACTCACTTAACAAAATAAGAATGGAGGAAATTCGAAATACTACAACATAAAGTTGTAGCATGTTTTTGAGTAGCATAAAATTGCAGGGAAAAAAAGGTTTTTACTGTTGTTAGGATGATCAGAACAGCAGAATTAAAGAAAAAGCGGCGTTGAAACCTTAAGCAGAAGTGAAAACTACAATGTTGGTGGGCCAACGTCCAGCAGGAGGAGCCTCTGAGCTTCCTATATTGATTTTTTTTTTTTTTTTTTTTTTTTTTTCCTGAAAAATTACAGGGAAACCACTATAGCATGGACAGAGCAGACAGTATCAACTTAAAATTCTTTACAACAGATCTAAGTTTACACCTCAGTTTTTCCATAAACAACTATCACTTTTTAAAGTTGAAGTTTAATTAAACACTAGGTCTTGTTTTATTCAGATCTGTAGTACCAAAAGAAGAGAATTTCTGATCTGCTGGACATATACCATTATAGAATGGCATAGTATTTATACCCATAAAAGATAACTAGTAAAACTCGTTAAGACTTGTTTACTGTTTTATAAGGCACTCTCATCAGGAGAAACATTTGACCTACTAGTTTTGATGTAAAAAAAACCAAGCCTTTCCTACTTGAGGATCTTGAAGTAATTGCTGAAAGCGTTAGGCTCCTTTTTAGGCATCAGGAAACAGACAAGCTAGGAAGAACAGACTGGTCGCATAGCAAGGACATATCAAGCCTGTTACAGAGGAAGGAATAAAAGGCATATCTTCCCTTTCAATTTCTTTAATATCTTTTTTCAATTCTGTAGTTTTCAAATTGGCCCACAGGTCAACAGCAAACTTTCTGGCACTTTTCAGAACAAAGTATTTCATGTTCAGAGACCCAAACTAAAGTAAGGACTGGATTCAGATGCTAGAATTAGAATATCTGACACATCTAGACTTATCCTAAAAAAAGGAGAGGAAAAGAATGTTGTTTACTGGAAGGCAATGTAAATGGCACCTATATCACAGACATGAGTTCTAGAATGGAGTTACCCTGATCTTGATTCTAACTTATATTCCTTGGTAATGCACACTATACAAAGCTGCCTCTAACAAAATGTTTTCTGTACTTTTTTTTGTCACTGTCCATCCTGTTAACCTAACAGATAAAGCTTTGGTGATACAGGACTATTTCATCACATATTTCAATGGAAAACACACTTTGCAATAAAACTGACTTTATCTGAAGTCTCTGCTCTTTGAGCTCCCAGATCTAATGCCATCGATATTTTAGTTCAACCCTTTCTGTCACACAGGGTTAACTTACCCTAATTTGTGAAGCAACTGGAGATCCTCCACAGCAAATGTATTGAACGCAAAGTACTATTTAACCCCTTACCGACAACCTAAAGTGAGACGGGGCACGAGTGAAAAAGAGGTACAAAAGAAACGTTACCAAGAAGTGGGATAACAGCTGAGAAAGTTTCCCCTCGGTCTTTCACTGCCACATTCACCTACCAGCGATGAGGATAACTGATGCTACCTAGGGAGCAGTATCGGGGTGAGGGGGTTCTCTCAGTCACCTGGGCTGTTGGACACGAACACACAGCTTCACCTCCTTATCTCGCACACCGCTGGGCACAGCAAACCGACCCCAGAACCCCCACCACCGGGAGCAGCCGATGAGGTCGGCGGTGCTCCCTGAGACGAAGGGCGAGGCTGCCCTCCCTGCCAGCCAGCGGGCTGGGGAAGGCGGGGATTCTGCCGCCTCCACAGCTTGCCACCCGGCTTCGGGGCCCGTTGCCCTTAGTGAGAAGCCGCTTCGCTTCTCTCCACCCACACCGGCTCCTCGCGTGCGGCCACAGCCGCTTTCCCTCGCTTGGGTTTGAACTGCCCGCCTTTACCAACCGCTCCGCGCTGCCGCCCCAGGGGAGCGGCGCGGCTCTGAGGCGAGGGCAGGGCGGGGGCGGCCCGAAGAGCGCTGCCTCTAGGAATAAGAACGGCAACAGCTGCGCTCCGCGTTCTCTTCGCACTTTATACTCCAACTCTGCGGCTCCCGCCGCTCCCGGCCCTCCAAAAAGCGCCCCGGTGCTGCCCGTCTGCCCGTTCCGTTCAACTGCTCCTCTTAGGAGCAGGGCTGAGGCGCTCCCGCTGCTCAGAACCGCTCAGCTCCCGTGGGGCGGGCGGGAGGCACCTCCAGTGGGGAGCCTGAGCCTTCACAGAGCGTCATCTGCACCAGGATCTTTAAGCCTGAGTTGTAAGGGTGCTAATTAATTCACGTCAATTAGCTTACTCGTACCCGACAGCTTAGGAGCTAGATAATCATACACAATTTCTGTTTTTCTTTCCTAGAAAGCTTACGGCTTTCTTCCTCCATCAGAAACAGCGCAAGATGAAAGAGGCTTTAAATCGTTGGGCGTCGCTCTGAGAGTAACGCCTCCGCCCTGAGCAGAATGCCGGAGGCTTCCCGTGGTAACGAGGGCTGCGCAGAGCGGGCGGGCTTCATAGCCCTTGGCGCCTCGGGGCTGAGCAGCGGCGCCGTAAGGCGGGCCGGGGGCAGCGCGCGTTGCAGAGCATTCCCTGCCCAGCCGGGGAACGGGGCGCCTTCGTGCACGGGTAAGCGACCGGAGGGTACCTGTAACGGGTGAAAAGATTAGGGATTTTGCTACGTTTCCCCGTTCCGTTTTAGAATGAGAATTGAAGAGTTCGGAAATGGAATCCACGATTTCCCGAAGTGCTTTCGGTAGCAGTTTCACGCGAATCGGAAGAATTTATCTTACGTGTTCACGGAGGAAATGGCCCCTTCTGCGAGGCCGAGGAGCTTTTAAGCGCATATACCAAACGTCCTTTGAGGACCGGCGTTTATCAGCCTGTCTGAACTGGGCTATACCCCGAGGGCGGCGGCGTGAAGCACAAACGGAGAAAGTAATGGACGTTTAAAGACTCCCTCCTCCCCCCCCACCGACGGAACGGTTAAAAGATGGATATAATCAAGAGACTGCATGATTTCCTTGAGACAATCGACTTTTTCATGGCGTATAATTAGTAAGTAGGTTCTAAAGCATCATCTTGATGCTTTAATCCTTCCGTCAAACCCGTTTTATAATACAAAACGAATGCGGGGAAATACTATCGGCTTTATTCACTAATTTAAATGTCTGGTTACTTCTGGAGTGTTAATTACTTAGTGTCCATCAGCAGAGGAAGGTTCCGGGCTTTTTTTGCTCCCGGCAGTAGCTCCCACCTCCGAGGATCGCAGCGGAGGACAGAGGGCAGCGAGCATCACTGCCGTGCACGTCCCGTTTTCCTTGAAGTGTTTTATTCTGGCACTCAGAAGTTAGATTTAGCTTTATTTTCGCACAGCAGCATGACAAAGCTGGTGAGCAGCCTAGAAATCGTTAGTATGTTATTAATTTTAGCTTAAATACAAAATGAGGAAAACTGCAAGTATTTATTGTTTCTCAAGTTTATTTTATGTGACTTACAGCTTATCCATCTAGGTAATTTGCTGCTATGAGAGAATTAAATTATAACTGATAAAACCTTATTGTCTCCCCAGGAAACAATTCTTATTCGACGTTTGGAAAGAGCCATTTCCTTACATCGGGGGATTCTTGAATGATGAACTCGTTTTGTAAATATTGAACAGTATTTGTTAAACACTTTCCAGGCATAAAGCAAAATTCCTACGGACTTGGAGACATGCGACTCCCCCAGGACGCCTGCGGAGCACGATCCTACAAATAGTATTAATATACAGTACCGCGGCTTGTCAGCTTGTTTCACTACGGGGATACATGGCACAGCCCACAGGGTACCGAGATTTAGTTGATAGTCATATATCTTAGTTGACAGTCATAGATAAAGAGTTTCTAAGCACGAAAAGGATGGCGAAGTAAAACTCATCGGCAGTAAAACCCTTCACTCGTATGATGAGACCTGTGGCGGGATTTAAGCTAAACACGCAGCTGTCTGTTTTCTCTGTAGGACAAAGAGAAAGGAATTTTTCTCATAGGAAAAGTCGGCGCTCCCGGGTCGCACAGCTCTCTCGTGTATACCTCCCAGTGCCTATATGGTGGCCTGGGAGCATTCTCCTCTTATAGGTCCCTCTTCTCTAAGCGCCAGCTTCAGGCGCTTCCCGCGCTCCCTCTGCCGAGGCTCCTCCAGTCGCTAACCGCTGTGAATCCTCCACAGCGCGTAGAGACGGCGGCGCAGGCCCCGCCCCCCGACGCTGCGCAGTGACGTCATCATTCGGCGCCGACAGGACGGCTTGGCGTGTGCGGACCGGTGCCGCTTTCGGCTTTTCCCTGCCGGGCTGGCGGTGGTGCTCTTCGTGGTGAGAGGTGAGCGGGGAAAGGTCCGCCCAAGCCCGTTAAGCCCGTTAAAACCCCTGGGTGTCAGCGGTGAGGAGGCGTGCCTGGCGCTAAACCGAGGCGGGTCTGGGGGGGGCTGCATGGCGCCGTTGTTTTCAAACGCCAAGGAATGACTGCCAAAATCTAATTGTAATCTACTGGTACAACGTGTCTGTATTGCATGTATATTAAGGTTCTACTGTGGTAGCAATAAAACAAAGCCTTATTTAAAAGTTACTGCGTTTAATGGATTATCTCGAATTATCTTGAATGAAGTGGCATAATAGGGAGTTTTGCAGGGGGATTTGGCGTTTACTGATCAGCCTCTCACCAACAAAGAATGAAATATTTCTGTCATTCTCCAGTTTTCAAGCCAATAGTGCATTTAGATGGGGACAAACTGAAGGTCGGGGAGATGTACTAGGAAATCAAGCAGAAGTGCCCCATAACCAGGCTCAGCAACCTCAAAGAAAAACATACCCAAACATGAATATATTTGTATTCTAGCCTAGATTTACACTGGGAGGGAAAAAGAGTGCTTTCTTTATATAGTCACAACCTCAAAATGTATGTCTGCAACAGTGCTTCCATGTTAGATTGGGGTTGCTAAAAAATGAAATGTTTATGTAGTAGTTGTCTGATACTGTGAAGGAATACTGGAGTCCAAGTAAGGTTGAACAACCTAAACTATTATAATAAGATGTGAACTGATGCTTGGAGAGTACTACTGGTTATCTAATAGTTGACCAATTGGTAATTCTTTTAGAATTTCCACAGAATTTCTTCTCCCTTGCCTCCATTTATTCATTTCTTTTTAATGGCTATTATTCTAACTACAGACAGCTCCCAGGATTTCTAATTAATTAGATCAAACAGTGTAAAGGTAGATTGGGGTATCTAGTGCTAGGACAGAGAAAAAATTGAGTTAGTTTTGTTTCCAGCAAGGTAAAAACTCTTACCACCAGCAGAAGGAAGGAAAAAAAAATATGAAGTGAGCATTGCTGTTTAAAATTCTCTTTAATATAAAACAATACGCAGCCTCCATCTTCAGAGCTTTTTCACAGCTGATTGTAAAGACCTGAGCTGACTTTTTTGAGGAGGAAGTTGCACTAGATGAATTTCTGAAGTCTCTTCCAATGTGAATCATCTTACATAGCATGTATCAAACATAGCTTGAATATTTTTGTATTTATTTTAAAATAAGTTTTTCAACTTCAGATGGAAATATTGAAATATTTATGTAAGTCAACAACAAAAACCATGTATTTTGTTTGTTGTTTTTGTTTAGAACATGGATTCACAGAAGGACGTTCAGCCTCCAAAGCAGCAGCCAATGATTTACATTTGTGGAGGTAAAGAAAAGACATTAATGATATCTGATGTTCTAATAATGAGGAATGCGTGATCATAGTGCTGCAGAGTACAGAAATCTACATAACTGTGTTGTGGATGCTGATGATCCATTAGCATTATGCACTGATGCTCCCACGCGCGTGGACTACCTGTGGATTTCGATATGGAAGTCATTCACTAGAACTTCTGTTGCTATGTGGAGGTCCTGCATCTCTAGAGAATGATAGTGGAACTTTTATTTATTGCTTCTTAGACACAAGGTTTTTTGGAAATACAGTGTTGTCACTCAGCTTTTATTAATGTGCAGGAGTCACATTTTCTCTTACCTATACATAAGTTAACAAAGTGAAAATTGGAGCTTTTGAATAGCCCCTTTAAAGACCTCTGAAAAATTTTTGCTTAGGAAAATAAACTTGGTGTCTGAGAGGGGCTGAGATGAAGGTTTCATTAGTGGAGTTTTGACTGTGGAATGTATTCTGTACAGTAATGTTTAGATAATTTTTAGCAATATGTTTGCCAATCCTTTTTTTTTCTCTTAACAGTATATTAAGATAATTCTGTTACTTATTAAAATTCAGTGCAATTATTTTCTATTATGCTTTATTTGCCAGTAAAAAGAATTTGACCATTATTATTTCTGAAAGTTATCTGTGCTTTAGCAGTACTGTTTTTGTTCATCCATTGCTATTCTCTTTCTCCATCATATCAGAATGTCATACGGAAAATGAAATAAAGGCAAGAGATCCAATCAGATGCCGAGAATGTGGGTACAGAATAATGTACAAGAAAAGAACAAAAAGATGTATCCTTTTGCAAAGGCAATTGAATGCATTTGGGAAGCCGTGGGGGCAAGGTGCGTAAGAAAACTGAAAATGAGAGTAATGATGCAGGGATCCTTCAAGACCAAAAATCAACACATCAAACTACCATACGAACATCTCTGGAGTGTAATTCAGGACCTTGTTTTTTGATACTTTTAGTTTTCCATTTTTTAAGAAAACTACAGTTAATAATCTTGTGTTACGTACTGTGAATGTTTGCTATTATACAGCCTTTTAAAAAGGGAAAATGTTATAGGGTTAATTATCAGAGCATTTCAGAAATTATTTATACAGTTACTTGTGACTTTAGATTTATGCATTCTCTCTTCTCGTTCTCCCTGACCCCTTTCCTCTCCTGGATCTTTTTTGAACTGCAACACATTTTTCTTTAACTGCACAATTCCAGTGGTGGTTTTTGATGCCCGGTGATTTGACCTGAAGATACATTAATTTTATACTTCAGTATTTCTGGCAACTTTGCTCTGTAAATCCATTGGTGTATAAATGCATAATTTTGTGGTTTAAGATATTGAAATATTAAACTTTACTGTATTACTTGTCATACCATCACAATTCTATCTATACTACTTTTAGAAGCGGATTTGTTACTTAAATTTTAATATGTTAAATTTATTAGTATTGTATTCATTTTTGAGTTAAGTGCTAACCTTGTTTTCACAACTCTTGCCTAAACCTTACTTGTGTTTTAACTCTTTTCAATGTTTTTTGGACTCCTGTGAACTACATAAAATCTTGGTTTGAATAAATCCCAGTGAAGATATATTGAAGGCAACACAAAATCAGGTCTGAAATTTGGATTTGAACTCGACAGGACCCAAATCAGGATAAAAATTATATGCATAAATGCAAATTCTGTCTGCTTTGTGACTTGCTTGTACTCACCAAAATAAGTAGGACTGTAGTATAAAGATAAGGTAAAACTGAAGTAACATCATTTTGCTTTTGTCATGAGTCTGTAATAAGAAGTGGTTGTTGTTTTGTACTGATAAGCCCAAACCCTTTACCTGTTCAGAGTATTTGCTAAGTGATACTAAAATACCCATTGTGCTGATGTGTCTTAGAAAACACTGCTGCTTTGTGTCTGATGCTAATTCAGCCTGATTAAATGCTTGCTGATTAAATGCTAAATTTTGATGCTAGTGCTGATGACACTGTTGAAAGACAAATGTGTCATTTCACTGCTGTCAGTATGGTATGATACCGCTGCTGGGGAGTGTGCAGCCTGCTGCAGAAAGGAGCATGGATGGGTTTTAGTGAGGGTAACGTAAGGTTATGGGCAGTGGTGAGGCTCAAGGCACTTGAAAGAGTATCGGACCGATTTAGACTGAATAAAATACACTGAAAGCAAACCAGTGATGTTTTATGAAACCAGAAACCCAACTGCCATACTTCTGAAGAGAATACCCTGAAGTCAAATCATTTTTAAGACCAAAGAACCTCTTCGTTTATCAGTACAATGCTGGAAATTATATTTACTAAAATATAAATTAAAACAGTGGGACGCGTTTCTAATAGCCAGAACGCTGCAGCGCTGCAAGTCTAGAGACCGTGCGCTGCCAGGGCTCGCCGCACCCCTCAGCCTGTGCGCGGGAGGCGCCTCCTATCCCCGCCCTACACCGCCGCGCAGCTCTCCTTCTCCATCGCTCCGTTGCGCATGCGCAGACGAGGCGAGCGTCCACGGTGAAGGCCAGGGCTGTTCGGCGCTCAGACAGGTGGGTGTCGAGGGCCGTCGTGCAGCGCCGTTACCTCCGCACAGAGCCGGCGGGGCTCTGCGGGCGCCTCGCAAGGAGGTGGCTGTGTGGGTTCCCGCGCCTTCTCTGTCGATCACCTCCGCGCCGCCGGCCGCCATGTTGTACATAGCAACGGTTGCTATGTTGTGATTGCTGCTTCTCTCTGTAGACCTCTGAGAAGAGCAAATTGTGTTATCAGGTCTCGAAATCGGAAATTTTTCTTTTGTAGCAATAATTCTACCGCAGATGGTACTTTGTGGCGTAAACACGGCTATTCCTTAAATTAGCATCGCTTCAAAATACATCTAAGTGCCCGGAGATTTTTTTTCTTTTAATGTTTAGTTATGGGTGATGAGTCAGTAATGTATTCGCTGGATCAAGGAACTACTAAAACATATCAAATACCTATTGGTCATCTCGACTACAAGTTCATTGAAAAATGTACAGACGTTCAACACCTGGAAAAGATTCTCAAGGTACTAAGGTAAATGTTATCTTTTCTAAACTTTGTTACTAATTGTATTCCCATTCGACTTCTCTTGATCTCTTTGTGACTTTCCCTTTTAAAAACTTGAAATTAAAATGCACTGTGAAAGTAATTGTGTTAAAAGTGTCCAGATGATTAAATGGAGAGTTAGAAATTCAAGTCCTCATTTAACCCATGAAAGAGGTTTGATAAATCATGCCAGCTTTTTCTCAAATTTTGCTACTGCGTTTTTACAGAAGCACATCTTTCCTATTTGTGGCAATATCAAGTGCTATGCCTGTTCCACTGTTGCTGAAAATTACAGTGACATTTTTTATGAGCAACTGGAACTGTGTTTGTATGTCTGCTGGGAAGTGCTTAACTGAAATTTTCTGATCAAAATCAAGGGGTGATAGATTTCAGTTGCAACAGGAAAACAGCACTCTATAGTCACTGTATACAGAAAAATAGGGACGTTTGTGGGGAGTGCAGCATAATTTAGTTCTCTTGTGTAACTTACACATGTGTTCATTTCAAAGGTCTGGTGAAGAGGGATGTTATCCTGACCTGACATTGTTTTGTGAAAAGCGTATTGAACATTTAGCTCCAGGGAGCAGAGTTCTCAGAAAAGATAAACCTGCAGCTACAGCAGCTGATTTTACAGCTGAAGAATGGGAAACAATTAATGATGAACTGATGGTACAGTATGACTCTAATTTATAGTGGTCAGTAATGTAATCTCTTTGTTTTATCAGTCGTGAGTGGTTGTTCAACCTCATCTTGTGATTAAGTACAAAGTGATTATTTGATTAACTGAGGTGAGGAAATGATAGAAAGGTTCTTTTGTGGTTTTCTTTTTTAATATTTATTGAGATAATGCTAATGAATCTTTAATACCCGTTATAACTCTACAGAACATATTTGTTTTTTGTTATTCATTTGAAAAAGCTCAAAACAAGTGCAAACTGCGTATAGGAAAAGCACTTTCCACAATCTGTTCATGAAAGAGCAGATGACTTTTCTATACTGTTCAGTGTAGGAACTGAAGATCTCTTTCTCCAACTGAAAATATTGAAGAGGTCTAGATGGGCATTAGCATTTTAGATTATATTATTTTATCTGAAAAACAGAATCTCTTGTAGTGTCATTCCTCAGTAGCATGTCTTGCCTGTGATAGAAAATCCAGATGTGTACATTACAGAATCACAGAATTGTAGGGGCTGGAAGGGACCTCCAGAGATCATCGAGTCCAGCCTCCTTGCCAAAACAGGATCCTTACAGTAAGCTGCACACGTAGGCATCCAGGCAGGATTTGAATATCTCCAGAAGAGTCCACAACCTCCCTGGGCAGCCCGTTACTGTGCTCTGTCACCCTCACTGTGCAGAACTTCCTATGCTCCAGTTTATGGCCATTTCCCCTTGTCCTGTCAACACAGACCACTGAAAAGAGCTTAGGCATTGTCCCACACTTAAGGTATTTATAAACATTAATAAGGTTCCCTCTCAGGCTTCTTTTCTCAAGGCTGAACAGACCCAGATAACCCCGCCTTTCCTCAAAGGAGAGATGCTTCAGGCCCTTTATCATCTTTGTGGCCCTCTGCTGGTCTCTCTCCAGGAGATCACTGTCTTTTTTGTACTGGGGAGCCCAGACCTGGGCAGAGTACTCCAAGTGAGGCCTGACAAGGGCAGAGTAGAGGGGGAGGATCACCTCCCTCGACCTGGTGGCCACGCTCCTTAAGTAGTGAAGTAATGCTTTTTATGGCCCAGAAACAAACATGCTTTGAATGATGTAGGAGAAAGTGAAGCAGCAAAACTAATCTTATGAGAAACTAGGCAAAACTATTTTTAAATACATTATATGAAAAGACGGGTGAATGCTTTTTGTTGCTTTCTGAATCTGAAGGGTTAGAGGCAACTTTGTTCATAGCATGTTCTAATCAAATTATGCAATTTCTTTTTGAGACTATTTGTTTCCAGTCTTTTAAGGATGATTCTCCAAGTGCTTCTGAATGATTAGAAGCACTTCTGCTTTTATTTTTGCATGTTTCTCTTTATAATGGTTCCCCTTTTTGGACTCTAAAAGATAATAAAGGAAGGTGTACTTGTACTCTGTTCATCATTAAGTTTTCTAGAATTGGCAAAGTTATGAACAGAAATAACCCTTTAATTTAAGGAACTTAAGCTTATGTTTAAGCTTTTTAAGCTTGATTTTAAGCTTTATTTTTAATCTTCCTCTGAATTGCTTTTCCTTATTAAGAGCTTTGTATTGTAAGGATAGTTGCAGGGTCATTGTAGACTATGATGTGTATCTGTTGTACAGCTTTGTTGGTATGGATTCTTACTTATTTTCAGAGCTGGGTGGCAGAAATGAATGAAGATGATAATAAGCCACAGGTTTTGAAAACAGGCACATTGCATGAAGGACAAGATAACTTGCCTCCTGTTCGTTGTTCCAGCAGCTGTCTTCCTGCTTTCCAGGTATCTCCAATTTTCTAAAACAGTATTTTTACATAAGTATGTTAATTATGTCTTTCTAAGATCAGTAAATTCAGATTTTAAGAACTTCTATCCCTTGAACCTCTAGATTTATTTTATTAACCAGAAAATAAAACCCTTTAAGCTGTCTCGTAAGAGACCAATGCTTAAACAAAGCTGCCTCTTACATACTAGCATGCATCTTGTAATTATCTTTTAATCTGGATAAAGAGTTAATTTCTGAAGCAAATCTTAAACACCCTTTTCTATGTACAGTTCATGTTTCAGTAGTGTTAAACGGTGTATACTAGGTTTATTTTGCAGGTGTTTTTTTTTTTTTACTGGTGTGGAGTCATGGGACATATTTTCTACAAATGAATGAAGAGTGAGCTTTATAACAGAATTTTCCTCTCTTACATAATACAGAAGTTTCTGTATTAATAATCCTGTTTCTTTTTCACACTGCCTTGGATTTTGAGGTTACATATATACTGCAAAATAAAAGAGGATCAGGAAGACAGCTTGATTATTTCTGTTTCTGATTGTCCACGTTGCTTAATCATTAGTTTTGCTCACTTTCTCCAGGACAGAACTAAACCACATTCTAGAAGTATGGGCTTAGAAGTATTCACTTCCATTAAGCAGTGTGGATGAGATTTCAGCAGATGTAGGTTCTTTGCCAAACGCAGTATTACAGTGCAGGACGTGCAACACACATTGCAAGTTTTGTTTTAGGAAACTCCTCTGTGATGTTATCTATACAGCCCTTGTATTATTTTGGATATTCCAAATTGAAAAAGAATACTGGTTAGCTGGCTCAGAATAGTAACTTCTATCACAAGGGACCCAGCAGATATCCAAGGACAAGTTTTTGCATCTGAACTAAATCCAATCTGAGCTCCATTTTTTGGTTCAAAAATTATTCACTGAGCTACAGACTCTGTGGGATCTATGCGTTGAGAGTTCTAGCAAGAAACATGACAGTGGCAGAGGATTTTTTTAGTTTTCTGCCTATAATACCAAGTACCAGAGAAAAGTTAACACAGCATGCAAGCATAACCTTTTCCTGAGAGGCTCTTGGATGAGAACAAACGAGAAATTCCTGACTCTGCTGTAGCCATGGTTTGGTTACAATGACCTCAAGAATTTGAGACGTAGCATGTTAAGGATTTTTGAAATTTTGCATCAACACTTCTGCTGTATTCCATTAAAGGACACATTGTAGTTCTCTTGCTGTATTAAAGTTGCATTTGTGTGTAATACGTCATGAGTTTTCTTCTGAGTTTAACTATATGCTCATTTAAACAATGTACTTACATTTGAAAAGAAGTTTGTAACGTACAGAATGCATACATAATGATGTCATTTTCTAGGAAGCCGTATTTAGGTTACCTTCTCCAAACATGCATTAATCACTAAACGTGTTTGTCGTTTTGTCTAGCTTCTTGAACAACTGAGAACATTATGT